ATACCCGTGACGGATTTCCATCCTCTTTTGCAGTTTCTACATATATCACTGTTCTGATCCTCAAAAACTTCCCACTTGTCAAACCCAGGTTGCTTGGTCCACCAAAAAATTTAAGCACCCCTGTTTATCTCCCACAGTTCTATACTTATATATGTTTTTTCAATGATGTTATTTTTTGTTTTTAATTTTATTTGCTAAAAACTTAACAACACTAATTAAAGTTTTATTTAGTAGAGTTGTAGTTGTAGGTTTTTAGTTTTGGTTTTCATATATTTTATAACTATAAATAAAAACACATTTATTTTCATGTATTTTCATGTATTTCAGCAACAAATAACTACAACAAAACTATCTTTTAATGAGAGTATGTCCTGTTATTAAAAGCCCTTATTCTAGACATTAAAAGATACCAATGAGGGGCCCTTATTCTAGTTATTAAAAGATAAATAATGAGGGGATGTCACGTCATGGCCCATTGCTATCTGTTTCGTGGTTAAAAATTTTAAATGATAAGGACATTTTGGCCCTTCTTATGGCCACTAAGAATATTGTTAAGGCCAACAATATTTTACTTTTCGTTTTGTTAAATTACTTCTTTATCCGCTCAAGAAAAGACAAAAATGATGAGGATAGAGTTAAAAAAATATGTATTTTCTTAAATTGAGTGTGTTAGATAAGTAATTTAACAAAATAAAAAATAAAATATTAGTGGTTTTAATAATATCTTTAGTGACCATAACTGAGCTCATGCATTTTGCCCGTCATTGAAAGAAACACACCATCCTATGCTTGAAGTATCATCTTTATCTCCACCAAATTAGTTTATTATAAGGGTAATTCCCATTATTAATGTTAGAATTTTAAGGATCGACATATGTAGGATTTAAAATACCAAAATCTAATAAAATAAATAAATTACATACTTAAATCTTCATAATTAATATATTACCTAAGAATTTTTAAGGATCTTGAAAAATTATCAGAATTTGGAATCTCCTAACAAAACTTACAAAACAAATATAGTTAATATTTTGGGATTTAGGTCTTCTTCTCCCTATTCAACTTTTGTATAGTAACAACTAATGGGTCATGTCATTCCCTAACTTTACTATTTATAGATGTAGGGTTTTTTAAATGAGAGAGCAGACCTAACCCATTATAATAATCTTTTAGGCCCCTCATCAAGTAGCCCATCTTGAATTCCAGACCCTACACCTATTTATATTACCCTATATAAAACTGAAATAAAACCTAAGCGCACTTAAGTCACATAACTTTATTAAGCTTTACTGGTTTTCTATTTGACCCAATTTTGAAAACCAAACACAATTAATGGAAGTCCACATAAAATTTCCAACATTCTCCCACTTGGGCAATGCTAATTGGTTTTAAATTTTAAAAAACATATTAAAAAAAAAAAAGACTTTTGTGTCAAACACAATTTTATTAGACACAAATATAAATTAAAATCTTAGTACAGAATTCCATTCAATGAAAATACCAATATTGAATTGTGCGGTCATTATGTCACTAATAACACAAGACCCTTTACAATCACAAGTATCAAATATTTCCACCAACATTAATTCTAATAAGTGTGATAAAGTGTAATGTGGTTTGACACAATGTAATTCATATAATATATACATGTCAAAACCACAACAGTCCTCTTTAAAATGGTCCTTTTTATAGTTTCAAAGAAATCCTTTTCTCAGGATATAATCTCTTTTACATTTCCCTAAGGAAGTTTCTAAACTTTAATTTGGTTTTATAGAAACCAAGGAGATAATCTCCCTCACTTTTCTAAAAAAGCCTTGACACTTTAAAAGAAGTTCATACACTTGCAAAGAAGCCTTTTTCATTTATACCTTGAGATCTTAGTATCAATATCTGTATGAGCTTATAAAAAACCATTAGTACAATGCACTGCATCATTATAAAATAATAAGTGATTCAATAAACAAAATAAAAACTTATTAGTGATAGAAAAATCAACTTCTACCACTAATCAAGAATACATATTTAAAATAATTCTCATAAATAACTAAAAAAATTATAATCTCTTGATTAGTAAATTAGTTAATATAGTTACAATAATGCATGACTATAATTATTATTCATAATTTCATCTTTATGTCACTTTTACTTTATAAGATAAATCAACAATTAGCTTTGATGTGCCTTTTCCATCAAATTCTATAAACAAGTCATCTTATAGATAACTAACACCATCAAGGATAAAATATTCTAATAGAAACAATCTTCCATTATCCATTACTAAAAATAACATGATTTTTAAACTTTGATTAAACACAAAAGTACGAGAGTGACAAGATTTTATCAACTTTAATAAAGGTAATTGCATCTTTTATAATAATTATTTTCTATATAATTCATAACACATGTGTCTAGGAATTTCACCATTGCAACCAAGCAATTTTTGTTTTTCTTATCAATAACCTTATCATTATATATCAAGAAATAAATTATTTAACTCCCACTGACCTTTAAGACACATTATTTTATACCCCTTAAATGTCTCTAAAATAATTACGTTAGTGGATAATCAACTTTTACATTAACATAAGCTATAAAATTGAGAGCCAATCTCTAAATAGAAGGTTAAGTAACATAAACTTAATGGAGGATTTTAATTGTGACGATGCCCTTCACACTCTAATTTATGTGTTTTTGTCATATACTCTTTAGTTAATTCTTTCTTCTTCTTTTTTTTTTTTTTTTTTTTTTTTTGACCTCTCGGTATCTAGTAACCATATTGGGTCTTGACTAATTCAGAATCGAGTCATGTCAGACCCCATAAGGAGGGAAGCTCTTCTAACACATGTTTCTCTATTCACAAGACTCAAACTCGAGACTTTACTTAATGGGAACCAAGTTCCTTTCACTTGGACCAACAAGCTATTGGTAAAGTAAAGTCTTTCTTACTAAGGAGCTAGTTATATTGTAATTTCAACCTATTGTGACCATCAAGAAACTTCATGTATTTATTTTGTTCAACAATTAGTTCAGAGTCTTTTGACTAGATCCTTTTGTAAAAGTCTCCTTTTTTGGTTTCATCACCACTCCTTTTCTTTGCTTCAACTGAAGCTTGTTAACTCTCTTTTAAATCTTTAACTTTGGTGAGAATTCCTTCTTCTTTTGTGTCTTTTGACCGTTGCTTAGTCTCTAACTTTCTCTTTACAGCATGATTCTATTTAATTTATAAGAGTTCAAGACATAATTATACCTTACTTTTTTTGCACTTTATGTTGGCTAAATAGGTCCATAAAATTAAGGAAAATGATTGATACACTCTCTGGTTCAACACACTTAACAACATCTTTCGGTTTAGTCATTGAAAATATAATATAAATACAGTCAGTTCAGCCAATTCCTGTATCTTGTATACATGATTGTATCATTAAACTTGTCTGTCTTCAATTTCAGACTAAAAAATAATGATTTTCTAATAAGTGTGTTGTGCGGTGTGTTAAACTGGAGGGTGTACCAATCACTGTCCTAAAATTAAACCTTAACAAGTCAATTAGTAAGTGAACCATCTTTTAGTAAATATGTATAAATACTTATAATCTTTACTCATTGCTCCCACTACTTCTTGTTCATGCATACAATAATCACTTTTGAGCAAAATATTACATACACTAATATGAAAGTCGCAACTTTATTCCTTAACTTTAATAATTCATATTCGATCTTTCTAATAGATCAATAAGTTTTAATGACATAGTAATTTAGTTTTATTACAAGTGAATTAATAAAAATGATCTTATAGAAAATAATCCCCTTTGGGTAAAAAGTTTTCTATAAAACCAAAATAATAACCTTTACTACCCACTTACACTTTTTTTCAGTTAATATGTACAATCACCTTCTTTAAGCAGGTAATCATACACACTAATTTTAAGAAGCAAACATTCTAGAATCTTTATTGAGAAATATGTGAATTAAATAGATGGCCTACTTTGGCGCTAACCCCCACATCAATTCACATGCTCCCACTGGAACACTTACCTAATATAACATTCCAAAATCCTTATTGAGAAACATGTAAATCTCAATAACTGGTCTACTTTGGTAGTACCATTCACATCAACTCACAAGCTCCCACTGGAATAGTTATCTATAAATAATGTAACATTCTAGAATTCTTATTGGGAGATTAACCAATCTTTCACTGGAACAATTTCTTATTATCCAAAAAATATTTACTGACAAAAGTCATTAAATCTAATAAATAAACTCTTAATATTTATATTAATTATAAAATATTATTAGGACTTTCATCTATATATATAGGGTTCCAAAATCCCTCTCAACCATATCTTTTATAATTTTTAATAATAGTAATTCTTTAATATATGAATTGAGAGAATTTTAAAAATTTTGAGTAGATTTTCAATACTAATTGATTCCTTTACTTTAATAGTAAAAGAGAATCATATGAAGTTCTATTAATATCTTAAATAATAGAGATACACAAATTCAAAAATTCTTAGAACTTTATCAAATTTTTTTTGTTTAAAATTTTTAAAAATTCCATGCACTGCCACAATTAGAATGTCACAAATATGCATAATAGACGTGCATAATTATTCATGGAAGATAATTAATTGCCAACAAAATCTATTATATAACCAACGATTTGACCTTAAATTATATATTGTGAGTTATACCCAAACTTTAATTTTACAAAATCTCTTTAAAGATTTAAAAATTGAGTACTCAAACTATATAATTCATATGCTAAAACCCAAGTATGAAAACAAATAATTTTATCTTGAATAAAATACCAACATAAGTAAAATCATACTCAATTACCTTGTACCATTGTAGTTTGCCTTGATAAACTTGATAAATGATTGAAACTATAATTCTCAACAATCTTTGGTGCACTTTTAATATGTATTCTCTAAAAAATTTCTTAATTTCCATAAAATTAGTAGAAAATAACAATTATACTTTCTCCAAAAGCATAATTAATTTTTACAGATAATTTATTGGCAGCTACTATCACGCCCCAAAACTCGAATTCGAGGCGCGACAGATGCCGTGTACTCGTGAGAGGGTCCCACAAATGCACAAGGCTCGGAACTTATCAAATTCACAATCTAATACCATCAAAATCTGAAGATCAAATTTTATAATTTGCTCTAATATCATTAATCTCCAATAAAGTCTAGTTTACAAGATCACGATTTATTTCTAAAATCTATATCAAATCTCGAAATGGCTAGCTTTCTAACTCGTCACTTCCTGTGGTTTCCCCGTCTTCGGTTTCACTTCCTGAAATGGTGGACAAGGAAAAATTATGAGATAAATTCAGTAAGTAAATATGGAGTGCCCTTAATTAAACTTATAGCATGCCAATAAGTGCAATCACAAAAAACGGATATAATACGGGAACGGGGTCACTTGTACGAACCAGTTCTATCACTAACATATCGACATGTGCCGACATGTGCTAGCGTTTCAACTCCCACTAGCAGGATTACGGAAACATGACCACATCGGAGACAAAACATGCTGAAGTTAACAGAAAAACATAATTCACCAATCACTTTCAGATCATCAGGACAATCAATTAAATTCCAAGTAGGCATGCTCAATTTAATGAAAAGCATCAAAATCTCACTTCAAATCAATCATGCTCATTTTTGTATAAAACGGGTTTAGTCCCGTCACCACTTCAAAAACAAATCAAAACATGCTTTTAAAACAGTACGAGCATTACCATAAATTTACTTACCTCACTCGCATAAAACCGAGCACTCAATTTCAGTGCTAACTAACAGAACGATCGGAAACCTAATCAAAATATTTCAAGACTTCATACCACTATCACAAATTCAAGGTAAACTCATCATTAGGATCATTCCTAATCACAATGCTATTTCCGTAAATCTCCACATGATCCAATATCTCCAAAATCATTATCATATCACAAACTAATCATTTAAATCCCCGTTAATTGTTGGCCCTCGGTGTGTGAACAGTAACCCGTGAACAGTGACGTGAACAGTAATCCGTGAACAGTGACGTGAACAGTAACTCCCACTTCCAAAAATTGGCCAAACCACTAGCTAATTTCACGAGATTTTCTCCAAAAATCACATAGTAGTCAATTAACAAATTTTCTACATGAATTAAGCAACAAAACACACTTAAACCCCTCTTAATTGCTACCGGAATTTCCCCATTTTTCCAACACAATTCGGACATACAAGGCAGCAAATAAATGGACAAATGTGAGCTTAAAGAAGTGGCCCTCATACCAGAATTTAGCAACTACAGAACCGGGCCTAGCAAGGGGGAGAAGCCGGCGGCAGTGTAGGGGGAAGCTCACGTGTCTTGCAAAAATTGAAGGAAATAAGAGCAATTAACATAAACCCAAGGCAATTCAAAGAAGAACAGAGGGATTGGTAGCTGTTTCTTACCCAAAACCGGAGCAAATCACCCCCACAAAGCAGGAGCAGCCGGCAGAAGGACAGAGCAAAGCAGAGCAGATCCGGATTCTGCAGAGGGGTGGGGGAAATTTCTGGGTTCTAGGTGTGTTCTAGAGCAAGAAAAGAAGGAGAAAACCAAGCTTTCTCACCAATTTTCCAAGGCATGGCTGGGTTCCTCTTTTT